GTTACAAATATATTTGAGCAACATACAATTACTCTGCTGTAATAGTAGAGTCTTCTTGTACTAATAGAATGAACATAAAGCTACCACCAGAATAATATTGCCAATTATAAAGCGAATCGAATAACATTAATCACAATTCAGATTACAAGGAGGTCACTAAAGCTCTCAATAGCAACTGCAGAATTGCCCATGATTAAATAAATTAAAAACACCAAGTTTTGCGTGACTTAATGCATAATTAGATCAAGTCGAAAAAAAAATGAAAAATCGAGAAAGAGAAACCTTTTTGGAATGATTAATGATACGAGAAGCCATTGCTGTGCAATCGGAGCTGCAAATAAAAACAAAAAATGGTGAGAATGTTGTTAGGGTTTTTCCCTTGGCTAGAATTTTCAGAGTCAGCAAAAATATCAGAGATCGAGATCGATAATTCGATAATTTGACTTGTACTCAAATCCAATTTTGAAACAGTAAATCTGTGGATGGAAGATAGGATTCGATCTAGAACTCACCAAGAGTCGAAGAACGGCAAATCGCAGTCTAGAGAGTGAAGGATCACTTGAAAGAAGCTGGGATTTGATGATGATGATGCTTTTGTGTTTGATATTTGATTAGGTTTTTCAGAAATGGCAAAATGCTGCCTTACATGTACCAACAGATTGTTGTACCATAAACCGATATAAAAGTAATTAAACCGGCTAATCAAAGCTTCTTCCTCTCACAAATTTCGGTTTGTTTCTTTTTTTTTTCCACGTCTCTGTTATTTAGATTGGGCCCTATTACTATATTCTCTGAGCTTTTGCGCCTCACCAAAAGACAGATATCATCAGGTGCGTGCGTTAGTGATTACGTAGATATCTAATGAACGGCGGAGAATAGTCAAACTTTATTAATGGGCCTAATCCTTGGGCCATCTGAATCTTCAATGCTTCCAACAGAACAAAAGACTCACTCACACTTCATTTAGTCTCTGATCAAACTGTTAGTCGGTTCATCAATGATGATGAAGATAGCAACTTGATGCTTCATCATATTGGTAACCTTCTTATTACTCATTGTGATTTGCTTAGTTTCAAGGATTCTTGATATCACTTGTAAATGCATTGGATGTGGAACAATTACCTGATTAAACATTCAACATAGAGAAATAGATGTCACTTTTTTGATAGGGAAAATGCTTTGTTATAACGTCAAAAAGCATCAAAAGTTGCAGGAGGAAGAAAGCTTTGGAAAAGAAAAAATAAAATAGTGAAGAATCTTTTCTTTACTAGTCACAAAATAATGAAGAATTTATGTTCTTAATTTCCCACTAGATATTTTTTATTTTTGCCAAAACGAAGTTAAGACATGAGCTAAGTGGTTGCAAATCCTTGTCCGAGCCAAAAGAGTAAAAAGAAAGGGAATAAAGGGGTAAAACCGGAAATACAAAAAAGAAAAGGAGAAGATTTCCAAAGGAGAAAACCCTAAAGACGGAGTATATAAACAAGTAACGCGTTTTCTCTCAGCCTCTTTCGGATTTTCCTATCAGTCTCTCACAATCTTCGCTCTTCTCTTTTATCTATCTCTCTCTCTCAACGCGGTTCAGATCCGAGTTTGGGAGATTCAAGCTCCCTGAAAAAAGCCCTTTACTTTCGCTTACCAATCCCTCTCAACTTTGCTCCAGGTTTGCATCGAATCTGTTCTCTCTATGTTACTTTTTCGATTCATGATTTGTCTCTTTACTTTTTGATGGTTCTGATTCGTTTTTTTGCGGTTTCGGATAGATTTGGTTCGAACTTTGTTGAGTTGGTTTGAAAGTTTTTATTTTTCGTTGCTTCTAGATCGTGTTTATCGTTACCCTGATTTTTGTTTGCTGTGGTTTTTGTTCTCCTTATTAGATTCTGAGCTGCTGATGATGACGATTATTTATTTTAGGATCTACCCATCTTAAGAATCTGTATATTTGTTGATGTGTTTGTACAAGATTTTGGTTCCGCTAGGTTCGATTTCGAAGACTTAGATGTTCTTGTCTTAGACTGTTTTTTATTATCTCAACACTCACTGTGTTTTGTCTGGTTGAATTTGGAGAAATAGGTTGAGTGGTGTCTATAAATAATGGATAACCACATGTGCCTTTATACATTTTCTCCGCACATCATCTGAGACAGATATTAATGCTTGTTTTCCTCTCTTTATGGACTTCGAGTTTGGCTTTCTTGTCACATTCCTCCTTGCCAATCATGTTTTTAACGATATCAAATACATGTTGCCACTCTTCTTTCGTTTTGATGTCTGATTGTTTTTGTTCTGTTTATGTATGTAGTCATGGCAGGATCTGCACCAGAAGGCACACAGTTTGATGCACGTCAGTTTGATCAGAAACTGAATGAAGTGTGAGTCTTTTGTTTTGTTTTCATCACTTTTCTGTCTTGAGTGTGTTCTTTGTGCATGCTCTAGTTGTTAATTGTGTTGTATGGATACAGACTTGAGGGACAAGATGAGTTCTTCACATCTTATGATGAGGTTCATGAGAGCTTCGATGCCATGGGTCTGCAAGAGAACCTTCTCAGGGGTATTTATGCATATGGTATGTGTAGGCCAACTCTAGTAGCTATCTTTTGTGATTTATGTTTTACTTTAAAACATAATCTCATGTGTGCTTATGTGTTTCTTAGGTTTTGAGAAGCCTTCTGCTATTCAGCAAAGAGGAATTGTCCCCTTTTGCAAAGGTCTTGATGTGATTCAGCAGGCCCAGTCTGGAACTGGGAAAACAGCGACTTTCTGCTCTGGTGTCTTGCAGCAGCTGGACTTCTCCCTTGTCCAGTGTCAGGCTTTGGTTCTAGCTCCAACTAGAGAGCTTGCTCAGCAAATTGAGAAGGTCATGAGGGCCCTCGGTGATTACCTTGGTGTCAAGGTTCACGCCTGTGTTGGTGGAACCAGTGTCCGTGAGGATCAGCGTATCCTCCAAGCTGGTGTCCATGTTGTTGTTGGAACTCCAGGACGTGTCTTTGACATGTTGAAGAGGCAGTCTCTCCGTGCTGACAACATCAAGATGTTTGTTCTCGATGAAGCTGATGAAATGCTCTCCCGTGGTTTCAAGGACCAGGTTTGCCTATATTTCTTAAGTGTTTTAATTCCATTCTCCTTGTGGTTAAACTCTAATCTCACTGGTTTCTGTGATTTTTTCAGATCTATGACATATTCCAGCTTCTCCCACCTAAGATCCAAGTTGGTGTGTTCTCCGCAACAATGCCACCAGAAGCTCTTGAGATCACAAGGAAGTTCATGAGCAAGCCAGTGAGAATCTTGGTGAAGCGTGATGAGCTTACCCTTGAAGGTATCAAGCAGTTCTATGTCAACGTCGAGAAAGAAGAGTGGAAGCTCGAGACACTCTGTGATCTCTACGAGACTCTGGCCATCACTCAGAGTGTCATCTTCGTGAACACCAGGCGTAAGGTTGATTGGCTCACAGACAAAATGAGAAGCCGTGACCACACAGTCTCAGCAACTCACGGAGACATGGACCAGAACACCAGAGACATCATCATGAGAGAGTTCAGGTCTGGTTCGTCCCGTGTTCTCATCACCACTGACCTCTTGGCTCGTGGTATCGATGTCCAACAAGTCTCTCTGGTTATCAACTTCGATCTCCCAACTCAGCCAGAGAACTACCTTCACCGTATCGGAAGAAGTGGAAGGTTCGGGAGAAAGGGTGTGGCGATCAATTTTGTGACCCGCGATGATGAGAGGATGCTGTTTGATATTCAGAAGTTCTATAACGTGCTTGTCGAAGAGCTGCCTTCAAACGTGGCCGATCTGCTGTGAAGGGAGAAAAGAAGTCGTGTTTGCTGCCGTACTAGTATCACCGGAGAAGAAAGGTTTTCTTGTTTTGCAAGGCACTCTTTGATCTGATTTTGACCCGTCGTCTCTCTATCTCTCTTATCAGCGATACCTTTCTTAAATTTTCTTAGTTGTTTTTCTCTCCTCTCTCCCATCGTCTACGAACATATCTCTCTTTCTGAACATTTTTATTTTTATTTTTAAATCATATGGAGTATTTATTTCTTCTCTATTTTTATTTTCGGCTTTGTCGTTTGTCTTTGATTTTTGTATCAATCAAATCTTTTCATAAAAGTTTGGTTTGCAACTTTTTTTCATATGTAATGTCAAATCTTTTTTGATAGGTTTAATAGTATCAAACGGGTTATAAACTCAAAATGTTTGGCTCATAAATAACTTTAGTGTCGACGTTAGATCTTTTCCATTCCATCAATCAAGGCTGCATTGGCATACACGCGACAATTCTACAGATGAAAAGTCTGTTCCGACACGGCCACGAACTCGCTTTATCTTTCGTTTTTCATGCATCTTCTTTTTATTTCTATAGCCTTGTGGAAAATAAATAGTATTTCTAAGCTTTATGTACTACATTTTCTTTTTCTAGAAAAGAAATATATTCAAATTTTCTGGATGTTGTCATGTTGATTCAATGATTCCCAGTCAAGCCTACACCACCGACAAGGGTTTCTCACTTTTATAATTTCAAAGTGAAATTATTGGTCTGAAGTTCTGCAAAGTTTCTTCACGAAAACACGAAAAGAAAATTTATTAATTTTATTGGACATTTAATTGAAGTAGTTTCTTGCATTATTTCCTGTGAGAAATTACTGGTTTGGACAATCCACGTGCCTATTTGAAATAGTTGGGAAAGCTTCACATCCACACAAAACCTAACCATCATAAATCATAAGAAAAAGAAAAAAACATGAAAAGTCTAGTGATTCATACCAATTTTACGTATTAATTTTCTTTCTAATTATAAGTTCAAGTTGAATAACTACTTAATTCTTTTGAAGAAAAAAAGAGGGAAAAAAAAAAACATAAGTAGGTCCTTGACCAACTCCACATGACAATTGTAAATTGATTTCCAAAAAGATACCTTTAATTATTTGGAAAATAAACATAATATATTTTAAATTTCCTTTTATAAAACTTTATTTTAAAGACAATCAATATTCAATCTATTAAAAACAGAAAGACGACGACGACTCTTCTTCGTTCAGACCAAAACTCTCAAAATCAGCCATGGAGAATTATTACAAAGAAATGGAACCGCCAGCTTCTGGGAACCGCCGAGACGCAGTGAAAGGTTACAGCGGGAGCTTCGACGATTCAGCCGGCGATCAGAGTCAGACGAACGATTACCAGTTAAAGATAAAGAAAAGCAAAAGCGTTCCAAACGCGGATCGTGCGGCGTCAAGAAGCTGGAGTTTCAGCGATCCAGAATCGCGGAGGAAGAGAAGAGTCGCTGGCTATAAAGTTTATTCCGTTGAACAGAAGATGAAGGGATCCATTCGAAAGAGCTTCAAGTGGTTCAAAGACATTATCGGTATTTCTTGATATATTTTCTCTGAATTTTTACTTAAAGAATCTCTTCTTCATGCTGTGAGAGTTAAATATCTGTAACAAATACAAACTGATATTTTCTTTTCTCTTGCAACTATATCAAGGTTATATATATATAGAGAGTCTTTGATTCTTGAATGAGACAGATAATGAATGAAATCAGTTTTCATATCTACATGTGAATATGACCATACTTCTTCAATTACAATCAAAAACAATTCTTTCTTCCAAAAAAAGAATCTATTTATAAGAATCTCTAATCAAATTCTTTCTTTCTTTTCATTTTTCTTTAGTATACACACACAAACTCACACAATACAACATTCTCTGTTCCTTTCTTTGTGTTTCCTATTACCTTCAATCCCAATTCTCTGTGTTCTGCTTCCTCCTCGATAAAGAGGAATCTTACTGGATGAGTTCTTCAACTATGTTGTGTGGTGGAGGTTGTATCAGTTGATGCTGAGACGCCACTCATACCGCTCATAACACTCAAAATAGAGTGTTTTCTTTGGAGCCTCCCTCTCAGCTGGCGGATCTTAGCATCAACACGAGCTGTGACTCCAATCTTGGTCTTCTCTCTAGCCTTTGATCTCTCTCTCGTCCACATACGCTCGTCCTGGACATCAATTCTGAAATGCTTGATCTCTTGAATGATGTGATGGTCCAGAGGGTTTAACGATCTCTGGAATGAAATGTGAGCCAAGTAAGGAAGTGTTGTGGCGGCTATGACCAGCAGTGAGGTAAGCCAGAAGATTGGTGCAGGTGCTAGGGTTTCGGAGAGCATGTGGAAGATGTTTCCTGAGACTTTTGGAGGTAACATGCCAAAGAGGGCAAGGAAGATGTACCAGGTGACGATACTACCCCAGATCAAGACATGTTGGATCCATGTGAAATGGCTCATGGTTAACGCTATCTGTACGTTCACTGCCCAGATGATGCAAGTGAACATTGCGGTTCCCATTGCGTCCATGTCTGCTGTTTGGCCACCAGAACAGAATGATTGGACATGGAAGATGCCAATATTGAGGGCAAAGATGACTACAGATGCATAGACTCCATTTCCCATCCACCCGAGGATTCTGTACCAGTCAAAGAACAGGTTCTTGGGGCCTTGCTGGTACAGTGCAGGGAACTAGAAAGAGAGATAAATTTATGATTAGAAGAAGGGGTTTTAGGGGTTAGATTGGAGAGATTTAACTGAGCAGAGGGGAGTAAACCTGTAAGCAGACTTCTGAAGACACGTCTTGCTCGAAAACTCCGAGGGCGATGACAGGGAGAGAGGTGAGAATAACGTTGAACAGCAACAAGTAGGAGTCGTTGTATATGGCTTGACCAGAAAACCCGGTGAAAGCCTCAAAGTAGAAGAGAGTCAGACCAAATGTTATGTTCTTGTAGAAGAAGTAACAGATCTGGCAGAAAAGAATATGAATCAAGGTCAAGTTGTGTTGTTCGATGGGCAATGATGCACCTGTCTGTATATAATTATAAATCACAGATATTTACCATCTGGGCTATTCTTTTGTAGCACCAGTGCCCATGGACAACAAGTAGTCTCTCTAAAAACCGAAATTGGGCTATGGAGAAGTCGCTCGCCATTACTGCCTGCAAACAAATAAAGAGAAATGTATGTGCAATCAGAAACAGACCAACGCAGACATCGCATTATATTGAAAACAAGTTTGATCACCTGCATGCCTTCCACGCCACTGATGCCTATACCTATATCGGCCTCTTGAATCATTCCAACATCATTTGCACCATCACCAATTGCCAAGGTTGTCTTTCCTGTTCCTTCTTTTGCTAGTCTTGTTACCTAGAAAATCGAGATAATAAGTGATTCCCATCAATAATAAGAAGATATAACTAGGACTTGTGGTGTATCAATCTTACAAGCGCTTTCTGCTTGGGAGAGACACGACAGCATATCACTGAAGCACAGTCAACTGCCAGGGCAAGAAACTGATACTTGATATCATCCTCCAAAGCATATGTAAGTGTCTTTCCATCAATGATCAAAGCAAACGCTGCATGTGGATCCTTCTCTAGTTTGATCATCTGTGAAGCATTTATGATTTGCATCAAAATGCTCTCTCTCGCAGCCTGGCCATTAACAACAACAAACAAGTTATCACATCAAAACAAGTTTGTATAACAGTAATGTAGGTTTTTATAGTATCAGCCTAATACATACAGCTTCTGGGTCTTGGGATGATCCCTCTTCATTTCTTAGTGCTATGTATATCTGCTTCATACCCTGTCTCAGCAAACTGCAGGCATATCTGCATTTGAAGAAAACAAAGAACTTAGTCCACTTACTATCTGTTTTAAAATTCCCAAGATTTGGGGTCGTGGTATTATCAGCAACATAGAAGAACAACACACCCTATGTTAATCGCTGTCTCCATCTTATCTCCTGTCAAAACCCATATCTTAAGACCAGCTTGGGCAAGTTTATCTATGCATTGAGGCACCTGAAACGAACAATAAATAATAAGCTGAAATGAAATTTCAAAAATTAGCGTCTTGGTAGTAATCCCAAACAAACTTCCAATGCATACCCCTTTCTGCAGTTTGTCTTCCACTGCAGTAGCACCGACAAGAATCAATTCCTTCTCCATCATATCAGATACCTTTTCGAGCATTTCATCTCTGTCAGCTCCGACTGAAGTTTTGGCTTTGTGAAATTCACTGTTCCATATCGAATACTCGGTCTCATCCAGCTTTCTATAACTGAGCGCCAATGTGCGTAAACCAGCTTCACCGTATCCATTCAAATGCTTTGAAGTGGCTTCCAGATAATTTTTTCCATTCTTGGATAATCGTTCAAATATTATGCTGCAAAAGTTTAAGATAACGCATTGATATTTACTTTAGAAGAACTGAGACACTTTATGGAACTGCTTCAAGTTATGAGGCCAACCTGTCAGCACCTTTACAGAGTAGAAGAATCTGCCCTTTTTCATCACGGACGATAACAGACATTCTTTTTCTTTTGCTAGTGAAGTCCAAAACATTTAAAACCTTATATTCTCTGTATAATATCCGGCAAGTAGTTAGATATATGTTCACTAGGGCCGATAGAAACAAGTGAAAGATTTGCAGTTACAGTCTCACCTTTCAACTGGTTGGCCTGAATGTCGTTCACTGATAAACACACTTGATTGAGTTCTTTTAGTAAACTCATAACCAAACTCCCCAGCTGCAACAAGGAAAGCAACTTCATCAGGAGACTCTGCTTCATAAGTACACTTTCCAGTATCTTCATCCACCTCGGGAATAGCAGTGTGACAAACTGCCAGTATACGCAGAAACATCAAAATGTCTTCTGAATTAGGTTCATTTAACCAGTTTCCACCCATGAGACGTTGATCCTCAAAACTAAACCCCTTGATACCAGTGGACTGTGTCTGATCCCCTTCGTCAGTAGCAGTGATTACAGTCTCCAACTCAATATCTGATGATGTCTTGCTGGGCATTTTAGCATATCCATGCATCCTTCCTCTAGTCCTTGGAAGGTGGGTCACTTCCTCACCTTGCTCCTCGTCGAGATCTATCGCCATTTGTTTTGCAGCAGCTAGTTCTACTTCACTGGCTCGAACACCATAAGAAGTACCCGCAATGGAGCATTTCAGAAAATCCATCTGGTTACATGTCAAAGTTCCTGTTTTATCGGAAAGGATTGTGTCAACTTGTCCCAGCTCTTCATTCAAATTCGATGTGCGTGCTTGAGCTGGAGTCCCACTCTCGCTATCATACATCTGCAAGTCTTGGTTTATGAAAGTTGCCTGCAAAACTTTTACGAGCTCGATGGAAACATACAATGAGATGGGAATCAGGTACCCATAAAGCAAGACAGCAGTGATCAGATGGACGACCCAAGCATGAAAAGGATTTCTTGGATTTGTTAAGCGCTCGGGCTTATCTGGTCGTAAGTACCACCAATCTCCCATATGCATCTTTGTCATCACTGCAAAACCCAGTGAGCTGATGAAGGAGACGAGCACAAGGAGGGCAAAGAGAGTATATATAATGTAGTCCATTCTCTTCTCAATTCTGCTTCTCTTTGAAGGGGATTTTGTTGAATTCTGCATGACTTTTGTGTCATGGCCAGTAAATATCACCACCCCATAGACATAAGACGTGTTCCTGAGCTTTGAGTCTCTCAAGAGAATCTGGCTAGGATCAAGGGGATAAACCTGACCGTCATATTCAAAATTTCCAACAAACGTATAGAGGTTAGGATTGGGATCTTCACATTTGATAGTTCCGGAGAAACTCTGGAAAGTATCATCCCGTTCCAGAGGCAAGGTAACATCCAAACATCTCTTTACTTTCAAGTTAGTTTCGCCATCTAAGTTCATCGTCTCAACATAACAGATCCCATCCTCATAACTTGATGACAGTAAGAGCAAATCAGCAGGGAAAAATTGATCCTTTTCCACCTTGACTACATCCCCTACACGTAACTTCTTCCACTTCCTACGACCAAAATCACCATCCCCTCTGTGAACAGTGGCTTTCCTGGAATTCACCTTTACATCCTGCATAAACCGGCGCCAATCCTCTAACGCCTCTTTACCCATACTAAGCCCGACAACAAAAATCAAAGGAGCAATCATACTCCATTTGTTGAATGGGGAGAGAGGAAACACAGAGAGAATAGCAGCAACGAGGAAGTAGAAATTGGCAACACGGTGGAATTGCTCATACAAGCATTTGGGCAAGAAAGTGATGAGGTTATACCTAGTGGTGGACACATAGTTTGAGGTGTACCTAAGGACTTTAGCCAAGTGCAAATGAGGTTGGTTGCAATGAACAATTCTCGTGTATCCAGGTCCATTAATGATATGTGGTCCTTGATCTTCTAGGGTTTTTGGTCTCAGGCATCTAAAGGTGTAAAAATGGCTTTTCCTGATCCTTGATCTTATTCTGCGACGCCCCATTATCTCAAAGTTTCAGCTCAACACAAGCAAGAGAGCTATTTAGCTGTTCAAAAAACACGAAGATCTCCTTTAACAACAATATGAGATCATCATCTCCCGGGGTTCAGAGGCCCTTGCCACTGTAAGAAATCAAGAAAACATTTCAGCTTAATTGACATAAATGTTCCATCACCACAAACAATGGAGTTCTTGTATAAACCGCAGAATAAAAAAAAATCGATAAAC